AGAGATGAGGGAGTGATAAATGTACCTACTGAAGCTTTCTTGTTGCCTTTCACGTGCGGAAATCCTGCTGTAAAACAAATGTCACTGCTAAGAGGATTTACAGCCATTAATTAGTCTTGATACTGGAAAGTGATTGGTGATGCCTGCATAACAGAAAAAAAAAAAAGAAAACGGATTAAAGCTGAACTCCAGGGACAAAAATGTTTATTCATATATACAGTATTTGTGTGTGACCACCCGCCCTGCTTAATGATTGGATGGGAAGCTGCAGCTACGCTCCCTTGCAGGTTCCCAGGCACAGAGGGTGCTAAGGGATGGCGGGGAGATCTCTCTCTCTCCACCTGGCTCTTAGAGGCATCACTCCCCATCAGCACAAAAGGCTATGGACAACCCTGTACATAATAGATCTTCCTTCTTCACACCTTAAATCGTCAATATACCAGCAGATGGAAGCAGATGTAATAAATATATTACAGTCCTCCATATAGCCACCAGACACTCATGTGAAACAAACTGTCACCTGGTACTAAACATAGATCGTATCCAGCAATCACTTCCACGTGCTAGATCCCTAGTCCTTATAGAGCACTCTTGCATGTATGGTGTATTAACTTTGTACCACCGCTTATAAGAATAGTCTTTATGCTATATATGTTTGCTCATATATCTATGCATGTGCAGACCAGTCCATTCTAAAATGATGAAGGATAAGTGTCTCATACTCACTCAGGGATCCAGTATCATTCCAGTCCCGCATGTCCCAGTTACATAAGATCATTCATAAACTTTTGTGCCGGTATGCCTCACCACTCTCAGGGCTAGTTCACACCATCCTCAGTGCGTTCCGGCACGATTGTGGCTGGAACGCACTGGATCGCATTCCAGCCGTCACACTTTGTTTTGGGACGGAAGGAGGTGTGGCTGTGCATTTAACGCAATGACACCGCAGCCACGCCCTCCGGCCGCAATACAATCGGCTGCATGGGAATGTGTGGTGCATCAGTGCCTGAATCCTGGTCTGGTGCAGTCAGAAAAAATAGTGCGTATAATATAATGTATAAAATGCACACTGCTTCAAAGCGTGGCAGACATGTTGCATGGAACAGTGGATGTTCCCAGTATGCTGGATGATCCTATTTCTGCATTTCTGCATATATCCTTAAGCTGGTAATAACCTGGCAGACTAATTTCCCTCGTTTTGTATAACCAGCATGCATCTGGGTTTGGCATGGTTTTTCAGTGTACTGTATGTTATTACAGGATTTTATCAGTGCCTGCTGTATCTGTACAGATGAGCAGTCTTTATCAATTGTGAAGATATTCTTCAATGCTGGATGATCTCTATGGCCTTGCCATTTATTATCTCTCCTAAACTTCCAGACTGCAAATTACAAAGGGATTGCATTACTAGAAAAATGTGCTGACATAAAAACACAGTTTGCATTCAGCTTTTTCCGCAGGGTTATTTTTCCCATTGTTCAATAATGATCAAATGTGAACATTTAATTTAGGAAAGTGAAAATCTAAATTTGTGTTTTTAAAATACAGTAGGATGTGTAGAAACCAGTTTACAAGCTCACACACAGCCCTATCTTTGTATTGCAGCCGCATGAACTGTATATCCCTGTAGGGGGTGACAATCCCAGTGGTGTAAGGTGCAGTCGTTCTTTTTTTATTTTTGCCTCCATGATGTGTTTTCAGACACTCGAACAGCCTGCAATATTTATGAGGTAGAAATGCTTGGTGCAGCTGCTCGCTGTATGAAAACAGGAGGCACGTGGCGTTCACATGTTCAGCAAGGAACTTGGCAGCACGGATTGTATTAAATTAAACTTTAATTTCCTACTGGTAAAAAACAGGCATCACTTGCAAAGGATTTTTTTTCTTTCTTTCTAGGAGAATGTCCTAGTTATACTTTTTGGAAATATCAATATTTCATGCAAAAAGAAAAAAAAAGATCCGTAACTGCAAATACACTTGTAAAATGGCCATACCCAATATGCTGGGTTATTACATTCCAGTTATGTTGCATGCTTGTTTCTGCATAAGGCCCCTTTCACACGGGCTTTCCAATCAGGTCCATCCAGGCTGACCTGATCAGATGCCTGATGCTAGTCTATGGGCAGCCATATGTAAACGGACGGGCGTCTAATTACAACCAGTTACCCCCAGCTCCGACCAGGTCCGGAAAAACAGACGGATCAGATATCCATTTTGCTGGATCTATTTGTGCTGGATTGGAGGTAACCAGATGTAAATTAAATACTGCATATTAATATTTCATATTTTATTATGTCAACATCAGGTGGAGTTCTCTTTGGAGTGGAGGTGGAGTGGCTTTTTTTCCATGTGTTTTCCATGGTTTCCTTACCTTTGTTAAAAAAACTTGCTGTTTACAGACCTCAGTGGCTCAAGCTGTGATTTATGCTATGGTGTTTCACCCCCTCCAACAACGTCTGCTGTGATCTTTGTTTATAGAAGCCATAGTGCTTGGGGGATCCTGTCATGTAGTAAATGTTTATTTCTATAACAAAGGATATAAAACATTGCCTTAGAAATGTATAAACAAAAATTTGACACAAAACCAAAACAGTGGCCCTTTGAATGAGGACTCCAGTAATGAGACACACTACAATAAACACATTATATATTGCCAGGTTGTGTCACTTGCTTTTTTTTTTAAAGTCGCAACTCTATGCTCTCATTAATTGTTGCAATTTGCAAATCACCTTCTCACAGCTCAGTTTAAAATGGTTGATAGGGACACATTTACTATTGAATGGAACTGTATAGTGTGTAACTGTTAGATTGTTGTCCAGAACCCACAGCAGTAAAACGTTATCTGAAACAGGTTCCAAGTATCGCGACAAGCCCAAAAACATGGGGGTTTTTTAAACAAATAGTACAGCCAAACACATAAAAGCTGACAAAGATAACAGCTTTCCTTGTTATGTATTCATGGCTGGTCTTTGTGTTTTATTTGGAGATCTCCTTTAACCATCTTTTACAGAAAATTCTGGGATGAAGTGCCCTAGACCTTTATAACCCTTGAGTTGAGAAGTCAGCAACAGAAAAGATGTGATCATCTGCATTAATATGACAAAAAAATTATAATTTCTAGTGTTGGAGATCAATTCTGCAAATGGAGAGGTCCAGCATAATGCATCTTATTTGCATGAGCTTAGCAGGTTTTCAGGTGCCACGATACAGTACTGCTGGTAATAATTCTGGTAAGATAGATATTAATTCTTTGCACACTCCAGGCTAAGAAAACATAATTAATTTCACATTCATAATTGCTCATTAATATGTTGCCTTTATGTTTCACTCCCAAGTGATTTCTCCAGTATCTGTGCTGCCCTCTGGTTATACCCAGTGATAGAAAAAAAGTCACATACTAAATATATAATAAACAAACTTTTTTTTTTTACAAAAGAGCTACAGCTATAAAACAGCAAAACAATTTTGTAAATTTTAGTTTAACATTGTTATTTAAGAAAAATGCAAATATTAAAGTGAACCTTGCATCAAATGTAAGCTCTGCTTATTTTTTGATCCCCCCACATGCAAAACATCAGCAATAAAAATTCAAAACAATAACACACACTCTAGTGCCTGTCCAGGATGCCTAGGCATGGATGATGTCAAGGTCTTCTGTTGAGATTCAGGGATAAGCTAAGAGTCCCAAATCTCACAAGATGTTCTAGCACAGTGAAGTCACCCTTACCCAGGCACTGAGGGCAGGGTAAGTATATATTTTAAAAAAATTTCCATGTCTTTTCCAAACTAGTGACAAACAATATGAGTGGTAATGACTCGCAATCAGCGCTTGTAGGACTTGGGGACTGGTAGGAGAAGCGATAAAAGTTGTTTATTTCTAAAACATTTTAACATTGGTAAAATGTATGCAGCATTCCTTAACCTCTTGCCGTCCGCCCGTAGTAAAAAAACGGACGGACGATTGGAAATACGGGACATTAGTTATGCAACATCAGTAATATATGGTAAGGCTGGTAAAGGTGAATTCATAACAAAAAAGACAGGCATATATAAGATCTTTGGTTTATTACATACAAAGTAAGTGAACATCTTTAAAAGTCAAAACTGCTTTTTGGTTTGTTTTTTTGTAGTGAGAGGTTAGAACCCTATGTCATGTTTTTGTTGTCCTCTTGGTTGTCCTCTATATTTGTCATGGTGCCCATCGTCACTGGGGCTAAAAGTAAGAGAAAAAATAATAAAAAATAATCTTGGTTCACTTGTCAATGAAGAGGAATAGGAGGGAAATCTTCCAATAGGAACACTTCTTTCGGTGTCTAGGAGGATTTGTCCCTCACTTCGGAGAGTTTTCCTCACTTTCTGTTCTTTTGTATAGGACAGAAGGCAAAGGGAAAGCTACTCAAAATGGCAAAGATGGGAACAAATCCTTTCAGGGGTTTTAACCATTCCCTTCTCTTCGCATGATAAAAGAATAATTTGGGATTTACATATACCTAAAACCTTATATTAATTACAGAACATTTTCTAAAACAGGTTTCTGCAGGTATACAACCATTATATTTTAGGCTATACCTAAAGTCTAAGTCACAAATGTCCAAAAGAAAAGAAACACTAATAATTTGCTGACAGAAGCAAAGAAAATGAAAATGCTGACTCTACAAAACCCATTTTAACATTTTCAGCCCCTAGTTACTGATCTAAATTTAGCCCTGTTAGGTTCTTTTCTTTAAAGCTTTTTTTATTGCTCTTTTTTGTGCTCCTATTGGAGAGAGTTCCCCTTACTTCCAATCAAGTTTACAGATGCCAAGCAATAACAGGAAGTGAGGGGAAATGTCTGAAAAAATTGTCTGTAGATGGGCTTTAATGTGACATATAGGTCAAAAGTTCTAATTGGACAGTTCATGGAAATAGCCTTTATTTTGTATATGTTTATAGTAAATTTACAACTTGGCTTTGCTTCTTTCTTAAAATGTTAAATGTCTGACTGTGTCTTTCTCTTCCAGCTGGTGTCAGCTGCCCTCGCTCAGTACCTCCAGCATATCCGCCGCCTCAGGAGCCAGGGGCCATCCAGGGACAGTATATGGTGACCGACGGCATTTCACAACCACAAGTTTTTGAGTTCACTGAACCTAGGAGAAGTCAATCCCCATTCTGGCAAAACTTCAGCAGGTTGACGCCTTTCAAAAAATGATACAGAAATTTAAATATATAAATATATATTGAGAAAGGAGTATTAAAATTAGAAAAAAAGAAATTATATTTATAGATGGCTCTTTTTTCGGAGAAGCACTGTTGCAATTATACTATGAAAGGACCAAAAAGAAAAAAAAACTGGAAAACTAACTAAAAAAGAAAACTTTTTACTCCTTAAACTATTTCATTTTATTTCCTCCCCTACCCGCCGGACATCAGGAACTGCTCTGCTTTGAAAAGCTCCATGATCCATTTTCTCACTCTGAAGAGTTTAATTCACAATCAGAAGATGTTCGCCGTTTTTCTCCTCGGACTCTGGGACTTTCCTCACTTTCCATGTTAGTGACCACTCACGTTTCTGAGTCGCCTGGTTTCCAGTGGAAATTGCACATATTGTTTAAAAGAACATTCTCTCTGATTTAGAAGGGAAACATGGTAGTAAAAAGGAAAGCACTCAAACAACACACGCACTGCTTTCATTTCATGATATCCATCAACATACATCCCAATGCCTGCAGATCCAGTGGGACTGCCAAAGAGCCGCTAGTTCCCCTGGTGCTGGAAGGTTTACCTGTGCCTCATATTCATTACTTCCTCAATGGAACCATTTTGAAAGTGGTCGCACTCTCAACAAAGCACTGCTGCACAAGAAATGACAGGGAAAACTAGCAGAAGACATAGGCTAGGTTAAAGCTGTATTAACCTAGATGAACAGAGTTTGGAAGTGGAACTGAGGAACAGCACCCTATGCTGGCTGTGCATTGTTAAATACTCTTCTCATTTGAATCTCTGTTTGTTCACAAGGTATAAAGAGGCAGGAAAAGTAGAACTATAGCTTCTTGCTCGCCTAGCGATCCTCCACTATTGTAGCTGTAGCAGAGCTTTGTAGTTCCCAGTGAGTCTGCTAGCTACTGTGCAGTCTCTCTATTGCTTTAACTGTTCCGTAAATGTTCTGGGATATGGATAAAACATGGCTCGTTACACTTTTATCACATTGTGATATTTATTTCCTGTTCTTCCCAAAGAGTATGGTTTTTATTGTTTTATTTTCATTTTCAGTTAGTGTCACTCCAGTTGTCTGAGTGAAAAAAATCGGCAATGACTTTAATTCTTTGTTGCCGGTCACTGTTATTTTTATTTGGGGTCACTGTGAGCTTTGTAACTAAAAGAACATGTGAAATGTGAAAGATCTGCTGCTTGATATCCTTACACATTCGGTGATTGTTCAATGCTGCATCTTCATTTCTGCCTGAAGCCATGCTTGCTTGGGAGAGGCAGTGGTTAGTGCTATACTTCCTTGTCCGAATGGCAATAATGTCTATGGTGTAAAATCCCTAAGGCTCCACATGTGCTCAGCAGGGCACTTTAGCCAAAACGGCAGCAGCTCACTATAATAACTGCTTACAGTCCTGGTGCTGGTTTGAGGTTTAAATATGTTGTAACAAGTATTACATATTCTCTTTGCATCTAATAGGAAGTCATTGGGTTTCCTTGTGCATCGCCATTTACAGTACCATGCCCTTTAACCTCTCTTTCTTTATATAAGAATAATTCCTTTTACCCATCACTTATTCTTCCTTTATTGGTAACTGCATTATTCAAGTGTAAATATATGAACACTTTAGGTCTCCTTTTGTATAATCCCTCTGCACCATTCCTGTTCTGCTTTCTCTCATATTTAGTATTCAGTGGAGTGCCTCTTCCCATGCTGCAGACGATGTAGGCTCATTCATTTAAATGGGTCTGCTTTCCCCCAGAGTAAAGAGGAAGACGGTGTCAGAGCTTATTAAACAGTTGCCTTTGTTTCATCTCTCACATTGCTTTCCCAAGGTGCTCCCATCATTTTGTTTGTAGAGTCTGGCCGGTTTTTCCATCTCCCCATCGTCTTGCTACACTTCATCTTTTCCTAGAACACTTTGATGATTGAGTCTAGTCTGCTAGCACACTACTGCCAGCTGTACCCACCTCTCACTGTGCTGAATGATACTGTGTCAGGTGCCTTGGGACTGGCAGTTTACGGACCACCAGCAGGAATTAGAAGCTTAACTCTCGAGATTTGAAGGTGCATCCACTCTTACTATTAGTTAAAATGATGTCACTCTTTGTAGCTAAAACAATTGTGTTATATTTTTAACATTATCATAAATACGTACTTGTCAGTTTATTTAACAATGTAAAGAGCAACATAAAAAGGGCAATAACCCATAAAAACATACAAACAATCAGTATTCTTTTCTTGGATTCTTTTAAATTGAAATAAGGTAGCTTCTGATTGGTTGTCATGGGTTACTGCACTTTAAATATCATCATTGCTCCTTGTATTGCCTTACTAAATAAGTCCATTGGATTTTGTTCACATGATTAAAAGACATGACATATCAATTCTGAATCCTGTTATTGTCTCGTGTAGAGACTGAGAGATGATGAAGCTTCTCATGGCATGATCTGCATGTCTACAAGCTGCATCTTATTAACTACAAGGAGTTTTCTGGATTGAAGAGATCTATGAAATATGTAACTAACTGAAAGCGATTTCAATGCTTAAGAACACACATACAACAATAGGTGCACTGATATCTTCTCATTGGTGTATTATACCCAATGAACTTGTGACAATCATACGAACAGAATTAACAATGAATGTACTGTGGCTATCGCCAACAGAGGCAAGTAGACTGCAGTATTTACTTTCAAATACTGCGGTGGTAAGCTTGTATCATATTCCTTATTCAGGGAATAACAACAAATGATGTTTCCAGATAGAGCACAACTAAAAAAAATCTATATATAACGTTTATTTTTGTTTATTTCTTAATCCTTGTCAATTTTACATTGCAGTATATCTACTATATACTAAGACAAAATCAAAATACACTTCAACTTCTGTTGAAACTGTGAAACTTGAGAGCATGGATATTGCAGTGCTGGGCCTGTATTCATTATGATAAAATAAAATTATAGGCCATGTGCAATTCTGCTTGAAACTGTGCCTCTCTTTATGTACAAGGTTTATGTTTATGCCCTACTCGTCAATACCAGGAAGCCTTGATCGAGCAATAAGATCAATGTATCTTTTGTAAATGGATGTTAACAGGTTGAGCTGTACTAGTGTGCTGTAAGAATGAATGCACCTTCCTGGTAGCAACACCTAGCTTTCATGGAAATATGCATATCTGGACTTTCTACCTCTTTGGGCTTCTCTGTCTGGTCTTAGACGTCTGCAGACAATTCTTGCAGAGACTTGTACATGTAACTGTATGCACACATATGTTTTACATTTTAGGACCAGTTCTAAATCAAATGGTATACTTAGGCAGGAATATTACACATTTATACTTTTTTCTTTCTGTCTTCTCCCATTTTAACATACTGCTAAATCCTGAGTATGAAAAGGTCACATCTGCAAACTTTTTCCTGTAAGATTTTTGCAGTAAAGCATTAAAGCCTAATTATACCCAAGCTTCATTTTTTGTTTTGGAAAGAGTGAGGAAAGGTTACAGCTTTTTAATGCTGAGGAGATGAGACCGAGGCGCTGCACCCAGTTTCCTAGGTGGTTGGTGGAATCTCTGGGTATGGTGGCTTCCCACAAAAATGGGGTTCTCCCCTAATCCAGGGGTCACCCAGTTCATCTTAGTAGTCAAGCACGAGGGAGCATCAAAATCATCTTTTAAGTCCAGAACATTGTTTTGTTGATTTCACAATTATCAGAAAGTTGACAATAGATAGCCAATGCATGCCAAGGCAGTGTTTTGACGCTCTCTAGTGCTTGACTACAAACAGCTTTGTATTGCTGGCTTGCTGCTTATGATATCACTCGAGAGAATTTGCTCACTTCTTGTCCCAGTGACTCCAAACAAAAAAATCGTGGGAACAGGGGTCACCAGGGCAGAAAGATATGGGCAGTGATAAAAGCCATAAAATGGTTCTAATATTATCCTGCTCTACTAAAATAAAAAAGTTTTTTTGTTGCTGTCTCTAGTCTCATAGGGATATGTCCTATTATTTCCTGTTCTTCTGACTGGAAGGTCAGGACGTTAGCAAAAATCTCCCAATGGAGAACCAGAAAACAATTTAAACCTGGCAGAGGTTCTAACCCTTCACCACTCTATCCAAAACTAAAAACAAACAATTTACGAAATGGATAGAAGTAGATGTTTTAATGGGGTAATTTTGGGTAAAATATACATTTAGGGTAATAAAATCTTTTTAGCTTCAGTTTGTATAATTTGCTTTATCCTCTGAGCTGCAAAGTGTGATTGGCTGAGCATAAGTTTCTAGAGGAACTATTTTCCCTTTACATCAACATGGGGAAGAGGAATCTAATAAGTACTGTGTGCAACCTTTTCTATAGAGGATAGCCCTACAGAAAATGATATTGAGGTGTACTCATAATAGGAAGTGCACTGAAATACTACAGCAAAGAGCCAATAGAAGAGGACTAGCACTATTGTGTAAAATCCTACACTGCTTTGGGTAGAAGTTACATTGCAGCTGATGGTCATGCATTTCATAGCCACAGACACAGAGGAGTGCCAGAATGTGATGTTGGTGTGCAGTAGAGATTGATCTTTCTCAGATCTAAATGAACTATGTAACTTCTATGCTGAAGAAGATTCCTTTAAGGATTTTGCATTATGGTTCTCGCAATGCTATGGAATGGTCTCCTTCAAGCTTCTGTTACAAAGGGATGCCTACAAGAACCTGTGCTGAGTGAATTTTGGATTTTTCAGCTCAGAATTGGAGCAGAAACTGCAATTAGGATATTTAAGTTTCTTTCATCTGACATAACACTTACATATGAGTGACGGGTAACACAATCTTTTTGTAACAACCTTTTACACATTATAGGATTTTTGCTCACCTTGAAGAGTTCCTAATTGTAAGACACAGATGAGTGTCAACTTCCATGCTTATGTGTCTCAATTATTTTATTATCGGTTTGCTGGTAGTGATGGAAGACAGCTATATGAACCTGACTAACCAGCCTATTATCCTACCTATACTATATTACTGGTAATCATTACGTAAAGTTGTTTCTGAAAAGGTTGGGTTGTTATGTTTTGCACATTTTACCAACCTCTAGTAAATAGCTTTATCCTCTAAGTCTTACTTCTGTACTTTAGACAATAAGCAAACTGTAACATGTTTTTGTAGATACATTGCAATACCCGCATGTACAAAACTGGTCTAGTGTCTCCATAAAATGTTTCACAGTGGCCCTGATTTTGCCCATTACCAGCAGCTTAATGAAATGTGCAATCTGTTTGTTCAGTGACAGAGGAATATTTGAATTTTATGCTTTACTGGAGTGTTCGGCAGCTTGTCTTAATCAATCAGTAGAAAGGTTAAGTGTGTAAACTGTACCCAGGATAGTAGTGCATTGTTCCAGAAATCCACAAGGATCTGCGTCAGTGCAGTGCTTCACCCTATGTGCTGCTACAAAAACATCTCCTTTCTGAAACAGCATCTTCAATCCTCTGCCATTAGTGTACAGTTACCTTTATACACAATAAGTCATAGATCTGTGCCATACTGTATAAAAGATGTACCTACTTATGTCTAAACTATTTATATAAATGCAGAGAAGCCATTGTTTCAATGTGCCAAAACAGTATTGTGCCACATACTACTAATACAGGGAAACACTGGGGGTTGAACTCCTAGTATTTAGCTAAGTTTGGATTATTTGTACTTTAAAATGATCCCTCAAGCATCCATAATGAAAAGCCCATTTTAATTGCATTTAAGATACCGTATCCTGCACCAGGGTTTATTAATGTTATTGTACAGCATGATAAGGAAGCAGGGTGTTTATCCAAACTTGGTGCTATTTTTAACTGTTAGTTTATGTTTTCACTAGTAAACCTCTGAATCACCCTCCATTTGTTTCTATGGTTCATTAGTCACAAATACTATTAAGCTTTTGGTTGTGAAGCTCTGTGTGAGTCTCACATACTGATAGAGCAGATGATAGTAACCTGTGGCTGTAGAACTACATTTTCTGGCTGGCAAGGGATGATGGAACTTATAGTTTCAAAATTGCTTATGAGGCAGTGGCTG